TGACGGACAAGAATGTGCATTCTCCCGTGTATGGTGTTTTCAGTTTCAGGTGCCAAAATGGGGTTTGACAGGCGCCAGGACTATTGATTATGTTTTGTTTGGGCAGACGGAGCACACCCCTCTAGCAGGTCTTTGTACCTAGAGGCCAAGTCGAGGTAGGAAGCGTCTGACTTTGATCAGCAGAAGGCTTTGCTTTATTCTTGTAACCACGGACCTGGGGCTTTGGCGTTGTAGCTGCCAGTATCCGCTGGGGACCCTGTCCAGACCAGACCAAGAGAGCACCCAGCGGATCTGTGGCACCTCGTACAGTCTGCACAAAACCCCCCTGAAAACAAGCACCCCGTGACCTTCTAACGGCACAAAACTGTTCGGCCTGGTGGAATGTAGACTTAAAAACGGAACTTTTCATGTGTCTAGAGAGACCAGAAATTTATATGAAAGTATGATTTTTTTTTTTTGTAGCGGGAAAAACAAACGCGGGAAGGGTGAAAATGTCAGGGTGCCTTCCTCCCTCCCCCTGAGGCTTTGTGCGCGAGTTGAAATCGACCTGCGCCTCCTGGTCTTGGGTCCGCCGCGGAAGTCGCCGGGCCCTGTCCTGCGAGTGGGGGGGGCGGGCTCCGGCGCGCGCCGCCTTCCCCGCTGGCGCTGATCGCCCCCGTCCCTCGGTCCTCGCGCGTGTGTTCACGTACACCTGCGTGAACGTGCTCGAAGACCGCGCAGCGTCTCCGTGAGCCGTCTCCTAGCCTGGCACCTTCCTTGAACTGTCACAGAATTCCTCGTGTAGCCCATCTTTGTTTTTCTTTGTGCCGGGGGAGTTGTGAAGGGGGACCTGGGGCGTTTTAACCCTAGGGTGGTTCTGCAGCAGGCTCTTCCTCTTCTTCGCTGTTCTCAGCCCAGGTCTTCTCTTCTTTTAGAAAGAAAAGACCCACTTTTCTCCCCCCCCACCCTTACAGGCTAGGCCTGTTCGAAAATACAGCCTGCCTGCTTAAGACTGTTTTTCTGATGATGAGCGGAACGCCATCAGAGCAAAGTCTCACGTTGGCTCTTTCTCCGCGAGAATAGATTGGAGACCGTGGTAGCTGGGATTTCACGTGTAGCACGAAGAGGACTGAGCAGCTGGGCGTCATTTTAGCGCGGCTAAAAATAACTGCTTCCTGAAAAACCAGCACTTGAGGGCGGGAGACGAGCCTGACGGAGGTGTTCATCCCAGCTGCCCCTCAGCTGCTACCCGCAAATGCTAAAAGCTTTTACTTAGCAACAGCATTTTTTGCTTTTTTGGTAAGCTCATCCCACTAAAATCCTCAAAGTCATTCATATGGGCAGGTTTGGTTCCCTGGAAGTTACATTACTGTTTCCAAAGATGTTTTTTTTTTCCCCCCAAGGGGGAGGAAGAGGGACTCTCCAGCTCCCCCTATTGGTAGAGGAGTTTCTGCAGCACCACTGCTGCCTGTTGTGCCCTGATCCACTACCTTCCGTGTCTGCAGGGTTTTCCCCACCTGTCTAATATCAGGGAATGTATTGAGCGAAACTAGAGCTGTGGTTTTGTGTCGGTGTTTGTCAAAACTTCAGGACATTTCTCAACATATTTCCTCAAAACTTTAATAAACCGCTGCCTCATTTATTCTGTATATATATTCTGCAATGTACTTTTCTTTTTGACTTTCT